CCAATTCACTGCAGGGGGAAGGAATAAATATATGACAGTGGAAATACATGGCATTAAAAATCCCAACTTTTGGAATCTGCAGAAGCATTTTGGATGATTTAGGTCAGCAGAGCCACTGGGTTATTGTGGTATAATTCCATCTACAAGCCTTCTCTCCAGCACCTCTCCATGTGACAGCACACAACAATAAAAGTAATATGTATAGCAATCAAAAGTATTTAAGAGGATTTGCCCTTTTACCTGTGATGGCTAATAAGCTCTTAATAAGGTGAATTTTTAATGTAAGACTCCTTGGCAGTTCTAGAAAGGATAAAAATGTTGGTGGTTGAAAGCATAACATCTCAAGTTTGTTTCAGACCTCCTTGGTGCCATTAGAAAATGAACATTCAAAGTTAAACCGTGACAAAGCCAAATTGATTTCTCTAATTATTGAAACTTGTCACACTTTCAATTTTTTGAGGTATTTTTCAGGCAGCCTAAACTCAGAACCCAGCACCAGCAGCTCTCTCCTCATGAGGAACTGTGCTATGAAGTGATTCTGGCTGGATATTCTGAATTAAGGTGACCTGCAGAGGCATCTCATGAGAGCCTTGCAATTATACACTGAGTGACCCAATAATAAGAGGGGAAAAAAAAAAAAAAAGGACAAATCAGTAAACTAAGTGTAAAAGAGGAAAAAAAAGAGCTGGAACCCAGTGTCCTGAGTCCCCAGCAGGGACCCCAGACCAAATCAGCCCTGCTGGAACAGAAAAGCCCACTTGCAGCACAGGTTACCAGCAGGAGTAAGCTGAGCAGTTACTCTGCTCTAAAATACTTTTAAACATGATTTTAAACAAGCAAACCAAACCTTTCTGAGGGGGTTGCCAAGCTCAGACTGCAACAGGGCAGGACTGCAACACTGACCTTGTGAAGTCTGGGGGAACAGGAGTGGTGACAAAGGAGGCCATGGGCTTCCTGTGGACCTGCTGGAACATCATCAGGATCTCTGAGCTCTTGGATATCAGCTCGCTCTTACTGCAGGATCGTAACTGCAGGGGGGAAAAGGAGGGAAAAACATCCTTAGGTCAGTAGAACACAAAGGTTTGGACCATTTTTTGCTTTAAAACAAATTAAATTGCAGTTGTGTCACAGCTGCAGAAAGTTTACCCGTGACATGATGTGAATGGAGCTTGGAGGTTTTGGGTGTTTTGGTTCTGAAATTCTACAGTGGCTGTTACAAAAAACTGCTGTGTTCTTCATTTAGATTCATTTATATATAACTGTATAATAATGGCCAGTCTCTTCGCGAACGAAGATCCGGGGAAGGTCTTTCCACCTTCCAGCCTGCGCATTGGATTTTTTAGGTGAGACACAGTGTGCGCGGAACTGAGCCCACCCTTTAATCCTGAGGTTCATCTGCCGGGGCCAAGCACGCTTGGACGGTGGCAGCGAGGTCCTCAGGACGTAGATGGATT